CGGACGAGGTTTCGCTTACACCCCGAAGGTACAAAACTGGCAAAATGTGTGTATTGACCTGTCCATGTGGGTTTTCTGTAGACTGCTCTACTAATTGTTCCGTCCGAGCGCTTGGTAAGATGAACATCAAGAAAGTGGAATATGTTGGCCGTTTCAACTTCCGACGTAAAATGGAGCTTGGTTAAACGTGCTGGTCAGTGTTTGTAACGGTATATTCTCGTCAACTAATATGAAAATATTGTCAGCGTAACGGCAATAGAATGGTAAACCCTCTATGGTATCTCGGAGTTCTTGTAGGAGTTAATACCACGCTGTACCTTCAACGTTCCGTTTTGCTTCAACGGAGAATCGTACAGGCAAACGGATGGAGTTGAGATGAGATCAACTGTGGGTCCACTTTTGACTGACATTTCGGTGGCAAAATTAGAAAACCAGGAACGTCAATTAAACCCGGACGCTTCTCGTGACCCATCGACCTAAGTGTGCGACTTCGCCCTTTCTGTTTCATTCCTCTCCTTTCTCTGTTTTCACGGCTCCCTATTCTAAACCACGGATTAACAATTTTTCGTTTTCGCTTCTTTCCCAACCACTCCTCACCATTCACGTGTCGTCCAATCAACGCATTTACGTTCTGACATTATTTGTTGCACATTTGTTCACTAAATGTATATAACTGTATTAGCCAGAGAATGAAGTTATCGAAAACGAGCTTGTTCGCTACTCATGTTGTTCGGTCAATGTAAGATTATACTGGCTCGTTTTCTCCGATCTGTCTGTTCGACTTTTAGTGACAATTTGTTCTCGTTCAGCAGAAAGTGAATAGCTTCGTTTTCACAAAAATGAGTGGTTCACACAACCACTAATGCAATACTTCCGTGCAGCGGCTCTTTCGACTGATCAATGATCCGTATGTGAGTGACACAGCAATCAAGTCAGCCTGTCAGTAAACTGTACATGCGCAGATAACAAATACATGCTAGAGTGCCTTTGTTCACGTCAGCCATATGCGACAGGTTCTGAGCGTAAACAGACCTATTTGATCACGTTTGTGTATTAGCCTAGTCACTTTGACGCATTCCGTTACACTGACCTGCACATCTGTCGCACGTTCTAGTCACCGGAATATGAGCATAGGAGTGGACACCTGGATACAACTTAATTTATTTCATGTGCGACTTTTCGAGAACACAATCAGGTGCTGAAAGCTGGTCGCAAGGGAGAACCTCCAGGTCCTGCGAAAACACGTACCATGTGGACCTTACCGTACAATGGGGATAGCTGTATTTAATGGTGGGCCGGATCACACTCATCGCGGTATGTTCTACAGACAAAAAAATAGCTTTTTGATTCAGAACAGTGACTTATCGAGCGAAAACGAACCACGTCAGGCCTCGCCTGCATCCGCCTAGTTAATGAGACGACTTCTATGTATTCTCAGGGGTCCACCTACATTGNACTAAGAGAAGTCTACCGCTTGTAGTATATAATGATCTGTAAATTATACCTTTCACTAAATCCCTCGGCAAGCGGTTGTTCCGGAAAGTTGCAAGACAAAACTGATTCGATAGAGGTTTGCAGCTGTTGCTCACGGAGATTTGTAGGCGTTGGTTTCCAGGGAGCTTCGACGTTATTACTGGCCAGGCAAGCAGAAGCTGCACACATGATAGGACGAATAACGTAGCTGGTATCAGGTTCGCCTATTCCACAGGGGGTGTTATCGTTCCAGGATTAACGACCAGAAGAAATTCCACCCACGGCGAGGTTTTAAGAGAGAGAGAGTGGTGCTAATCAGGAATAATTGATGGTGTGCACTCAATTGTCGCCTACGACTTCAGTCATCAGTTTTGCTTTTTAGATGGGATCGTAATCAGGCCATCTGGGAGTCTTTCTTATTCGCCCTGAGCATCTCATTCAAGGGCCGAATTCTCTGGCGCCCACTATGAACAGTCATAAGTAATCATGGGATAAGGTTCATTTTGAACACTGTGCAATGTGCAATCATTTAGCACACGTTGAGTGGGAGCTTGGATAAAACGGTATTGATCAAATTTGTACGACAGTCACCAGATCTCTTTCTCCCAACGCGCTATTATTATTATTCTCATTTACGGGATTTATTATGGTTTTGTCCCGCACAACATACTTATAATGTATCCACTAATGTTGCTGCTTCCATTAATCACACACACAGTTCGTAAAACATTCGATTTCGATGACGGTTGGTGGTGGTGATGCATCAGTTGTGCGATAACAAATGCTCAGTAGGGGAAAATCCTGAAGATCGTTTGGTAAAATTTGTCACAGGTAACTTCAAACTACTACCAATTTTATCGTTACATTCAAGGTCGTGCCTAATAAAAAACGTAGAGTGCAGGGCACTGAAAAGCGAATGCGGATATTCTGGATGAGGAGAGCGAGCAAGGAATGAAATAGAAAATGCACAAACTCAATACAGATTCAACTAACTGTATATACATACACACGTGAACTGCAAGCACCAATCCCATTGCGATCCACGTCTCCATCAAACGAGACAACCCTGCTACGATTATTGTCATAATTACCGCCTCAAAAGAGCTACTGACATTGTTCTAGACCCTTATGGAACGGATGACTGAATCCGGACTAGCAGTTTATCATATCGATTTGTTTTTTTTTCAAGGTCGTTTCTTCCTTAGATCGCAGTTCTTAATCATGGGATCCAAACCATCCGTTTACGTACTCTGGATGTATTTTTGTATTCATCAGCGGCGTCTTCCGCAGCATCGAGAATATCTCTGAGAGCCGTTAACTGGCAAACTGAAACCAGCCGGCCTTTAATGTGCCCCGAAATCTCTCATAATCAAAACCAGACCGTACGTCAGATGCGGTTTGAATTATGCACAATGGTTTTGCATGCAATACATCCAAACCGGCATGTACTTATTCATTTTTTACACTTGTTTGTATGTCAATCCATGATTACAGCCCAGACCAAACGGGGTGAATCCTATTGCGGGATTTACAGCTAGATTACAAAGGCATAACAGCGAGGGCCGTAACATACGGGGTTCCGATGACTGGACATGTAAATTCAACAAATTGTAATTTATACTGAGCAATCGAAGATCAACGCGCAACCTGGAGTGACTAGGACACTAGGTGGAGGATGGTTAGGGGTGCACAGTCTATGGTGGGTAGATAGAATGCATCGCTTTGTAGGATAGAGGTCTACGATGCTTCTTTGGAAACTAACAGATTTAGTCTAAGTTTGTTCATGCAATCACGCGCGATCAATATCAATGAAACTTTCTTGGGCCAAACAAACCAGGGCACAAGAATCTTTATAACGCAGGTTTGCTCGTGGATGAGAGGTTGCTCTACTTCCCAGGCCAAAGCAGGGTAATTTACTTGGGGAACCCATAACTAAGGCTAGTCAAAGCCTTAACGGTAAGACCGCGGAGCGGTGTCCACTTCATCGAATCGTGCGCCCTTCGGACGGTGTCAAACGTCCAAGACACCTAATTCACCTAGAGACTCGATCGCGTCGGTGACAACCGCCGCAACTGTGAGGGTATGGGTGGGCGGTAAACCATTATTATCTCTAACCTAAGACTATCACTGGGTTGTAGGTGTGGTTTGCACAACTCATGATGCACTGGCCAGTTATCGGACAAGGTGTACGGTTTAGCTGTTTGCACAGATGCATGACTTTATCGAACTTCGTCAGATCACGATATCAAGGAAACTGAGCAAAAGAGCTGAGTATTACTAACCGGATGTCCGGAAGAAAACCGATACAAACGAAGTGACATTATAATATGAGCAGTAGCATCACAATAATAAAAACAAATGGTCAAAGTCTCATTCGGAAAAATCGCCACTGATCGTGAAAAACGTTCAAGATGAACGACAGGATTAACGCTTCCTAGTCAAGAAAAAAAGAAAAAGGATGTGGGAGGTGACAATTTTTTTCAAGACGGGAAATCACAGACAGACTGCACGGTAGGAAGAGAACAAGTTGTACTCAGCCACACCGAACTCGTTCACACGATTGCTAATTCATTCAACAGACTGTGGTTGCTCGTTGCCCACGAGGAAGAATGACCGCGGTATAGATTGACGCACGAAATTCAGCGTCCCCGGATCACCAGTTGCTAGAGCTGCTCGTAGCACAAGACTGCCAGTGTCGAAAAAGCCCGGTCGGGCCATTCGAGCATATAAACTGATTCGTCGGGTTTCACCTGGCTGTAACAAAATACATTTTCGTG